ACGCAGGTACTCGAGTAAAGTAAGTAACGAGTAAAGTAACGATACGAAAGATACGGGTATTGATTGGATTAGTAATGAATACATACGAGTATGTAAATTTTCGTTACTTTTACTGTTCTAGCAGGCACTCATGCTACATACACTGTGGGAAATAATGGTGGCGGGTTGAAATTCAACACTTTAAGGGCCGGTTGTTCAATGTCTGATTATCACTACTTGCCGGTTAAACATCATTATCGACGTTTTCGTCACCATGCTTATAACATGTGATCGATAAAGCAGTTGTTGTATTTTACCGGAGCTTCTACCTCCCATTTGTGCAAATCAGGCATTGAACAACCGGCCCTAAAGCTTAAAAGTTTGAGAAGGAGATTATCTGTATCGCTCTTCTTAGCTTCACAACCAAAAATAAATACAAACAAGTGTTTTTTTTTCTCAAAATAATATCCGAAAAAAATCCAAAAATGTATCAAAAATGTACATATGTACATATATCATGTATTTTTTTGTATCAATTAAAAAAGTTAAATGTATATAAAAAATAATCTTTTGGGACGTATAATGTGCTTTTATTTATTTTTCTTGCTTTACAAAAACAAAGAAATATACATTTATACTTATACAACGAGTAAAAAGTCCTCCAATTAATGGCAGCGTATGATTTTGCTTTTTAAAGGGAGATATTTAAGTGAACGAGGAACAGAAAATAATAGGGCATGATTAGTTCTATCGAACCACATTTTTTATTTGTCCATAGCTGGCTGGTATTCTTGACTTATGCCAAAAATTTCACTTCACATTTGACATCAGTTATGAAAAAGGAATGTCAATCACCTGACACCAAAATTTGACGGCAGTCTTTGACATGCACTGTGACATCTATAATTGATAAGTTTTTATGATGTAACGACCACACATTTGACACCTAATAAACAGCTGTAAGTTAAGGAAGTTTTTGATATCAGTAATTTTGACATAATGAAAACCAAGCATTAGATACAGTTTTCAGATTATAAAGCATCTGAAATCTTATTATATTTTTGCTTAACTGGAATGTGTAACTATTTAAATCAATAAATACATTTCAGTGAGTTAATACTCAAAAATGTATCGAAGTTCCGAATTTTCCATTTTCTTGTATATTTTTAATTCATTCGATGCATCGGAAATATCGGTTTTTATATATGATACATAGATATGCATCGATGAAATATTTCGATGCATCAGATCGAAAAAACATTGATGTATTTTTTGACTTGCATCCATGAGGCAAATGTGGTGCCACACACAGTGATGCCAAACTTAGTCAAAAAGAAGAAATTTGAAGAGTTGCTTTTTTACAAGCATAGACGATTCGATTATTTCTTGAAAAATTCGATTATATATATCCGAATTTCACCACCACAAAGTCCGATTTCAAAAACTCGCCATTTCGGAGCTAAAATTCGAATAACTTCCCCTACTTCAAACTAAACATTTGAAAGCACATTTATATGTCTGGCTGTAGCTGAGTGCGCAAAGATGCTTGCCACAATTTTCTTATTTCCAGAGGGTCAGCGTGCGAATTCCATTGCAGGCAACAATCAAATTAAGTTTTTTTTTTTTTTGGTTTCTATCTTGATTATTCACTTCACGGATACTTTTTCAAAACAAACGTTTCATTTTAATATGCGTAGTTGAATTGGATATTTACCACTATACAGTATTTTCGTTGACGTTTGTAGTAAGATCAACTATGTTTCTGATTGATTTTACCATTTTTTTCCCTCAGTGTAGAAAAAAAAAATCAAACAAGGTAACCTTGTCGGACGCCTTGAAATCTTTTAAAGAAAGGAGTAAATACATCATGACCAAAACCCTGGTCTTATACCAAATTTATTCCATCCTTAGTTATACAAAGAGGTGCAAGATCATATTTCCCTTTTCTGAGGATTGGAGCAGATATCCCACTTGGTTGTATGACGGTTCACGAAAATGGTATACCGATGGTTCAAAAACACCTTACAGTATAGGTGTGCATGTGGTGGGACCGCGATTCCGAACAGCTTTTCCATTAGGCAAAGACGCAACGATATTCCGATCGGAACTAGCTGCCATACTTGAGAACGTCCACATCTTGTTAAACTGCTTAAGTGCAAAATCCTAAAACGCTATGTGGAGCATTAACAGGTCATTGTGCTTGCAACAAACAAATCGACCCCTTTGCGCGAAATTATCGTATATGCCATTTTTTCGAAATTTACATTTTGACGCAAGCCATATAGTTACGCCAAAAATTTACGCTATCTCTTATCGTATGTTGCAATGTATCTTGTGGGCGAAATAGTCGTATGCGCCATACAAAAGTATTTTAAACGTAGTAAAAAAAATAAAACAAGAAAATTTAAAAAGATTTTTGAAGAGTACAAAAAAAAACGAAACGAAAGGTACCGATATGTACATGCTTGACCACTGTAGTACATACATTTGCAGACTGGTGAAGAGGATATCAATGGATCACCTGATTTCCCCTGCCCAACACTAGCTCATCGTAAGGCCAGATTTTTAAATGACTACACACTCAGTAATAACGACCTTATGCAGATTTCGCAGCAGGATTCAATAGAATTATTGTGCATATTAAACAAATAAAGTTAAAACAGTGGGTACAATAGATCAAACCTGGTCGCGGTGCAAGGGGACTGTAGACCTATCCTTACATCATCAAGATCCCAAATTGATGGTGCCAATACTGGAGTTGGCTTATTTGGACCAAAAATTCAGAAAAGTTTATCAAGCGGGAATTTCACCAAACTAAATCTTCGCCGGCGATTATCTCGGTAGATGGACTATGGTATAAAGGCTAATAGTACTTAGCAAACCGAGTACAAGTAAAAAGTCTACCCTGTGGTGGGTTCTATTTTACGAAAGCTTTAATGGATTGAAAAGGCTGATACACCCGCGAAATGCAAAGTCCAACAGAGCCAACCAAGGGATGCAGAATAGAGCTTCTCAAAATGACTCCATATTGTAGTCCAGTGGCGTATTTCAAAGGGTAAAAGGCAGTCAAAAACTATTACTGAATTTCTAAAAGGGCACTCCAAAACTTTGGTATGAACCCACCAAATTTTTTATTTTTTTTTAAGACCACTTATAAAGGAACCAGAAACTACTGTGCAATTCTGTCTTCAGATTTGTATTCAACAAACTCACCAAATTTCGATTAAATTTAGTAATATTTTCAAGTGTGTCCATCCCCAATTGGATTCAAGCAGTAACTTTAACCAATGCTGATTGAACTAAGATCCTATACATTCAAAAAAAGCAACTCTTAGTAGGACATGTTTGTCCGTTTCACTTGAAATTTATTATTCTAAATTGCCATGAAACAAGAAGAAAATCGCTGTAAAATTTTCATTAGTTGAACAATTGCTTAACCCCATTTCATAAATCGATTCTTTTGTTAGCACAAATCAATAGCAACCCAATCAAAGATACACAATAGTCAAACAATTTACTGTAAAACAATGAAAGGAGGCGTAGCATCGGGGTAAAGGTTAGTTTACTTAATTATTGAAAACACCAGCTGGCATTGTTAGCACAAGGAGAGAAAAAAAAACGAAAATTTATTGCTGTAACAAATGTGTTGGTAGTAAAATACAATACACGAATGTAGAAGCAGGAAAAATGCAGCAAATTTAAAATAAAACAAATGTTATAGACCTCTAAAGCTGCTCAGCTATGCATGACGTAAATATGTGTGTTTTTAGATATGTATGGGCATAGTTGGTTTCACGATTCTGCTGATAAAGTAATGGTCGTACATACATACATATATAAATACAAAAGTACATAACTACAAACAGTGGTCGAAAAAATTATAGCCGCACCATATTTAGGCAAGATATTTTGTGTTTGTATTTGACTGTAATAAATTTAAAAAAAAAAAATATGGTTCATTCAAAAGAGAAACAGTGAAAATCTAATGGCCTTATTCATAAAAAATGAAGTAGCTTTATAAAAGGTTTATAAATTGAAAAATGTATGAAAACGTCAGTTTATAAAGCTCTTTAAACCTACTTTATTTTTTATGAATAAAGCCATAAGTTTCAAACTTTGTGCAAATTAAAGAAAAAGAAACAAATTTTCGTAAAATTTCGAGCTTTTTTATTAGATTTCCTATAAATATTTTTAGTATGCAGTTTTGTAGCTCACTGAATTTTAATAGCATAAAGTACAAGTTTCAAACGGCTAAGAATTACCGTTGATTTTTTAGAATTTTTTTCGAAAATGTTGCGGTTTTGCTTAATATATTAAAAAGATTTGTATTCGTTATATGGAAGCAAATGGGACAAAAAAAAAGTTCTAAAAAATCAACCGTAATTTTTATCAATGTAAAACTTGTACTTTATTTTATCATCAATGGGCTATAAAACTGCATACTCAGCATGCTCAGATTATTTCTGATTAAAAAAGCTCGGTTCTTGGATTTACACAGGTTTTGTTAAAGAATTAACTATATTTTTATAACAAAATAACCAAAATTAAAAAACAACAAAAAAATATGTTAAAATTTGTCAAAATGTGGTGCGGCTATAATTTTTTCGACAGCTGTACATACATATAGTCACCTGAAATGCAAAAAGACGTAACAACAACGTAAATGAAATGGAAAAAGTCGTAACTAATATTTTTATTATATTTTTCATAAAATGATGTGGGGAGTTGTAATTCGGTGAAATCCATGATATAACTCAAAAAGTGAATTTTGAATTTTTCATTAGTTATGACTTTTTGCAATTCAACGATGATTTTTGTTACGTCTTTTTGCATTTCAGATGACGATATGTACAGGTATGAACACAAGCGTGAAAGACACTTTAAGCGCTTAATAGAGCGCTTACATAAAACACGAATGTGCCATATGCATTTTTTCTTTACATCACAGTTTTTTATTTCCTTTGCACAAAATTTACACCAATTTTCACTATCAATTTTCCCTTGTCTATTTTAACTTTCAGCCAAAGCCGCCACTAAAATCCAAGCCGTTTTTCGAGGACACAAAGTACGAAACACCATGAAGAAGAGCGAAACTAAACCAACACCCACCGCTAGCGCCATCGCTAATAGCAAAAATGCAGCAGCTTCGGCGGCAGCCGCAGCAGAAGCAGAAGCGGCGGAGCCAACCAAAGCTGAATTAGAGGCTGAATTCGATCCCAATGACAAAGGTAGGTGACATACTACACAAAGTGTGATAGGAAAAGTTTGCAAGTTCGAGGCAAAACGTTGGCTAAAAGTTTGAAGACAGTATACACAAATATGTATGTATTTGAGAGACGAGCTTCAGAGGTTTTAACCACCCACATCGTGCAGAAGCAACTCATTTGACTACCGTTTTTTTTTACATCAGCACAGCCGCGAGAGTACTCTACAATTCTGATGTTTATTGGAACGTGCAAGACTACGAGCGTTTCATGAAATCTCTGACAAACCTACGAGTATATAGTCTACCACATTCCCGTTGTTGCTCCATCCAAGTTTACCATTTATCCTAAAATTACATATATTCGTTAGTTATACCAAAGTATCGCGTCAACCACACCAGTTGTTTCTATTCCGTGCCAACTCACGCCAATTCGAAATGCCAAGTCAAGCCTGGTCTTTTCAACGTAGAAGAGGCATTCCTCTTCCTCTCTTAACAGCATCGCGATCCACGTTAAATATTTTCACAACTGCAGCGTTTCTGTCCATTCGAACGACATGACCTAGCCATCGTAGCCGCTGAATTTTAGTTCGCTTCACTTCTGAATTGCCTACTCAGTCCATCGGTGTTATTGCTGGTTCCCAAATAAGCGAAGTCATCTACTTTTTCAATCTTTTAACTGTCAACAGTGACGTAGGTGCCAAAACGCTTATGTTCTAACTCTTTGTGTGATGGCAAGAGATACTTTGTTTTGCCCACGTTTACCACCAGACCGATTCGCTTTGCTTCTCTATCTAATTTCGAGAAGGCAGAGCGGACACAGTCCTTGTTTTTGCGGATAATGTCGATGTCGTCGCACGCGCCACATCAGCTCTTCGCCGCCGTACTTGAATACATTGCTCAACTGGCAGGCCGTCAGTCCCAGCAGCTTTGTTATTTTTTAACCGCATAATCGCTATTCGTCATAGTCAGGCGGTGGTACATATCCTCCATCGTCATCGACTAGGAACTCGGGTTCGTCTTCTCCAGCGCTGCCAGTGCTGCTGCCATTCAATAGGTTGGAGGTCCTGGAATTATACATTAAATATTTTTGGAAAGTAGGTTTGGTTCTCATGACAATGCTAGGGGGCGTAGGAGTCGATATATTTGAATAAAGGGTATTTATTGTTCGATTTGATTCATTTTATAAAGTATATTACTTACACGAAAAGAAGTCACTCTAAAAATAAATTTGCCGATAGGTGTCGCGGGGTTCGATATTTTTCGAAACCGATTTGGTTCATGTTCAGACTATATGAGCAAATCTCACGAGTGTCTCCTCCTTATCCCGCCAAAAGAGAAATGCTTCTCCTTGCATTTATTTCAATCAGTGCAGTTCCGAAAACAATTAAAATAAAAAATAAATCAAGCATTTGAACAAATTTAGCCTAAAAGACTTATTTAGGCCAAAAAGTACCGAAATTACTCATTTTTGTTGGTCATTCGAAAAAATCAATTGTTTTTTTTAATTACTTTGGGAAGTTTTCAAATATAATATTCGTATTAGAGGCAATGGACGTTGACATCAAATACAACATATCTCTGAAGTTTCCAGAGTGTGTCACCAAGTTAAAATTAGGGCAGCATGCAGGATGTCCGCCGTAGCTATTTTGTAAATTTTGAAAATCTACGAGTTTTTTTTTACGTTGTATATGCAGCAACGGGTATATGAGCACTAGAGGTTATTTTTACTCTTGTTAGTATATCTTTTTTAAGTTTTCGTTCAAATAGAATTTCGCGATGTAATCTTGTTCTTCATACAAATCTGAAGATAATGCATTTTCTAAGATAAGTGTGCCAGCACTTTTGACCAAAAACACGTTTTTGTCGAAAAATTTAACAACTCGTGAGATTTGCTCACATACATATGTAGGTACTACCATAATTGATAAAAAAAAATTGTTTAGGTGGAACCTAGTAGAGGTGCTAGCGGCGCTACTGCCCAAAAGGTAGATTCCAAAGAGCCATGAGGCTTCTAATCTTATCATGTCCTCAGATTATAATTCCATTTAATTCATTCATTGAATTCAAATGTTGAGTGACTGCTGCTGATGGATGAGCGAACAGAAGAAAGTCTATATAGTATATACATTAGGTTTCCCATCGAAAATGTTTTTTTTTTTTGAAAATTTAAAGACCCTACCCCCTAATTTGATTAGTTTTTATGAGAAATATTATTGCCTACTTTTATAGATTTTTTAAAGGCCATTTAGAGGTCGCGGCCTGTCGATTTATGCCAGAAAATACGATTTTCTAGATTCATGAGTTTTTGAATGCCTATTTTTGCTTGAATTTCAAAGAATTTTTTAAATTTTGACCATCGATAGTTTCCACAATTTGAAAATATGTAGTACTGACGTACAAAAAAAACGATTTCCGATGGGCACCCTAATATACATACATCTCTATGTACTCTACAAATCTGTATATACTTTTTCAATTTAAAGAAATAAAAAAATTTAAAGGTTAAGTTATTGGGGTAATTTATGTCGCTATCAATAAATTTTTGCAATAAGCTTATCAACCGTTATGTTAAATTACGGAGTTCTTACGGTTTTTTGTGGGTTATATATTGAAAATAAGGTTGCCCTACTTTTTTCCAAAAGTTTAACCCATCAACTCCCACCAGAACGGGCCTTTTTGACCCACTGTTTAAGAAAATGGCTTATAGATGGATAAAATGTCCACTAAAATATTAAGCGACAAATTTTTCTAAGGAGAACAGAATCGATTGCAAAATAATAGTAATTTTTACCAAACAGGGGGACTTTAACTCTGTGTAGAAAATATTGCGATGCGCGGGAGCAAAACCTTCCTGGGGTTTGACCACTACTTAGGAATACTAACGTAATTTTCACACAGCCACCTAGTTCTTGTATACGTCTGTGGGACCCCAGAATAAAGCAACTTACGAATGTAAAAATAAGCAAAAAAAAAGTGTTTGCTTTTTATTAAAATTCTGTTTAAAATATTTAAAAAAACACACAGGAAAATTAACTAGTCTTTGCAATAATGCGTTAAAGTTTTTGATGTGTATAACTTTCTTGTTGATGTAGTATATAAAAAAGTAGTATTGTTGTAGTATTGCAAAAAATTTTCTACTGTGGAAAAAATCGTCATATTACCGGTATCCCTAATTAACTGTAATAAACGCTTTCGATCGAAAAACGTGTTACCTATGTTTTTTCTGAGTTACGCTTTTTTTTTGAAATGTTCAGTGGCCCAAATTATGCAAAAAAAAACTTCTTTTAAAAATGTGATTTTCACTTCGTAAAATGGTGTTTTTATACGAGTAGTATTTAGTTCCTTCAAACGATGTATTTCAATGTGCATACAACATGAACATTTTGTACAAAATTCCTTAGGCGCCGAACGCCGCCGCGCTGTTCTTTCGTAATGATAAAAACGGCGGCGGCGGCGGCGTGGCCCGGCGGCGTATACCTCTAGAGCCTAGGTCGTTGAAAAATGTTAACTAAAAGTTTTAAATAAAGTAATGTAAATAAAATTATTCTAACTAACTGTATTTCGCATGCGTACTAAAATAAAGCTAAATTGCAAGTGTATTAATTTTCATTTTTCCTACATTATTTTATTAAAAAAGGGCTTAACAAGCACGTCATCAGCACGCAAAATAATTTTAAATTGCTTCGCAACCAAAACAATAAATGTTCGAAACTGCTAACATTGAAGATTAATTTGTAGCTTAACATTCCACAACAACAAAAATTCATACAAACTTCTACGGGCAGGTATTTTGCACAGAAACCTGAAGTCGGCATTCGTACGAGTACCTCGCGGCGCAAAGAAATACCTTTGCCTTCAATCAAGCTTAATTGTTCTTGTAAATTGCATTAAACAGTAACTGCGTTAACAATTTCGCTTTACTGCTGCCGATGACGATTTCACTCTGCGTTTGCTAACTACATACAAGCAATTTGCAGGTTGCGTATCCGCCACAGCGCACTCTAACGCAATCACTTGGCTTTGTGTGCAAGCCCAACAATGGCTTTGCATGTACAACAAACAATATTGCACAGACAATTTAGCAGCACAAGTATTTCACATCCACCTTCTTTCTCCTCGAACCGTCGTCAACCACAGCGCACCTTTGTAGCTACTGTGTGTGACACGCAAAAAACTTTAACAACAGCTACGTACACTGTGGCTGCGAACAAAAGTTCAAAATTTTTTATGTTTTGTTTGTCACTTGTCAAGTGCGGCAAAAAATCTAAACAGCAAACAAGATTTTCAATTAGGCGTAATATTAATTTTCGTTTGGTCATTCAATGGCTTCCATTATCAAACGCGTCATACCCACTTTGGATCGAATTTTGGTGCGACGCGCAGAGGCGGCTAATGTCAGCAAAGGCGGCATTGTGCTCACCGAGAAGGGCATGGAGCGCATGGTGGAGGGTACGGTGATTGCGGTTGGTCCCGGTGCGCGCAACCCACAAAGTGGCAATTACATACCGATTGGTATGAAGGAGGGTGATCGTGTGTTGCTGCCGAAGTATGGCGGCACTCGAGTCGAGATGCAGGATAAAAAGGAGTATGTGCTTTATCGCGAAGCAGATATACTGGCCAAGTTGGAGTAGCCAGAGTGCGTAATAATGCGTAGATCAATAGCACGTTAATTATGGAGCGGAGAGAGTATGTGTAATTTGTTTTAAGATTTCACGAAGGAATAATTTCTTCCGAATGTTGGGCGAGAATTTAATTTATTTAGTGAAATAAACTTGCTTATTTTTACACGGAAATTAGTATGTGTTTTATAAAAAGAATATCCAAAACAGGTAAGGCGTTTTTAACTCCGTTATTTTTTGTACTAGCACTTTGAAATTTTTACTGGGTGTGCTTAAATATATCCAAACAAAATCTGTGAAAAAAGCAGTTTCGAAAAAAGTGTTGGTTAGGGCCTTTGTGAATAAGGGTAACGATATGTACCTTATCCAAGGCCACCTACAGATTTGCAGCACTTGCTGCGTACTGATTAACCCCTCTAAGTAACTAAATTTTAATGATAACTAACTATGGTGACAAAATGGTTCGGTTGAAGAAGCTTTATTTCTTACCTCATCGGCGACTTAGCTACCTTCGATGTCGGGTTCCGCTCTCAAGACATAGGATTAAGTCTGTTATCAGGTCCGATATACTAGCGCTCGTTCTGACAATTATCTTTGGTCCTGTTATGTGTCAACATACATACTTATTTGGAATGAGAGTAAAGGAACTAATTTCTCCAAACTACCAATACTTCCTCTAGAATTATTGGCCGCAAACCTTTTCAAAAAATATCTAGGCTCTAGTGGTTCTGTTATTTTTCATATTCCTATGTCGCTATTCAAATGTGTTGAGAAGTGTTCGCTTCAACTGTACTCTGGACGTCTGTCCTTGAAACCCTTTGATTGCCGCCAGCTTTTCTGATGAAATTTTCGAACCTGTCTTCCAGCATCTCAAGCTCTTCGTAGTCACGTCTTTCGCCCATCTCTTTTCTTTTTCTTAAAATGGCGTCTCTCTTCTCTCCTCTATTCCCTGCATCGTCATTAACTGTAGGGAGGCTTCATAAGCAGCATCTTTCTCTGCATATGTGGCGCGACACTCTTTGTTATACCAAATGAAAAAGCAAAAAGTGTGGTTGCTAATAACATCACTTCATTTTTCGCAGTATTACTGTGTGATTGCTCATATAAATCCAGATGATGATAAGTTACTTGTTTAAGCAAGATTGAGAGCCGGTTGCGAAACTTCTCGGCTCCATCGTTACTACAGCTTTTCGACTTAGAAATTTTACCACCTGCCGCACGTCAATAATGATGCCTAGCACATCGCGAAGCCGATAAGTCTCTCTCATTTTTCGGAGGAGATTTTTGCCCACCCTGGCGTTAAAGTGGCCAACCACGATTTGAACATCCGGGCTGGCGCTCATAGAAACGTTCGTTCTATTCCGTCTTGATTATAACGAAACCTGGTATCCAGGACCATTCGTGGGCGTTGATTTTGAAACTGGTATTAAATATTCAAAATTCAAAGTGGCGGATACAACATGGCGGAGGACTTTTTTAAAATAATTATGGATTGTATTGAAACTGATAACGAATTTAATATTTGTTTTCCAAAATGCATATATGTAATTAAATATATATTTTTGTATATAATTGAAATCAAGAAATTAGAAAACTATGACCTATTTAATCACACAATAGGGAGGCAAACATGTATCAGCTAGACGGCCAAACACTTAAACTTAATTTTGATCTCTAGATTACGACCGTTGTCAGAAAGTCCGTATCGTATCAAAATTTTAAGATATTTACTGTGGAAGTTTTATGAAAAGAATTCAAACTTAAAAAGGGAAAATATTAAAAAAAATAATAAAAATTTTAACTTTTTCGTTTGTATTAAAACCAGTATACGAAAATAAACTATATTGTACGTTACTATTTCGTTTCGTTTATTACTTCAACAGTTCGGTACAATACGAAAACAAAACGGCTGAGTTTACTTTGCGATAGTACATTACAGTAGTTTAGTAGTTACAGACGAAACAACAAAAGAAATGAATGGTGCAGAGAAAAATATATGTATATATGTAGTACATGTTTTTTAATTGAATTGGATATGAAAATTGACAGAAAAAAATATTTTTCACGTAATTGAAACGTTTGCATACATATAAAACGTACCCTATGGTACAATTGTCACAAACGAAAAGCAAACGTTTCTCGTTGGGGAAAATTACAGTGAATCTTACAATTTGTTACTGACTATGTACAAAACTGTACAAAACCACAAATGATATGATGATCGATGAGCAAATGGGAATTGTTTTGTACAGTTTATTTTCGTACCCCGGTTAAAACCTTTTTTTACAAAGAAAATCGGTGGATAAATAAAAGAATGCTGAATAGGCAAATGAAAATGAGAAATTATTTTTTTGTATGATAAATGTATAAGCGGGAAATACGGCAATATGTCGTGTGGTATACTC